GAAAACAGACCTATGACGACAGGCTGAGATCTATGAGGCTCTTTAGCCTGGAAAAACACAGGCTCAGGGGTGATCTGATGGCCACCTATAAGTTTATTGGGGTGATCACCAGTATGTGGAGGAATGTTTGTTCACCAGAGCGCCCCAAGGGATGACAAGGTTGAACAGTTATAAATTACTGCAAAACTGATTCAGGCTGGCGATAAGGAAGAATTTCTTTACTGTCCGAGCCCCCAAGGTCTAGAATAGCCTGCCATCGGAGGTGGTTCAAGCACCTACTTTGAACGCCTTTAAGAGAAAATTGGATGCTTATCTTGCTGGGATCCTATGACCCCAGCTGACTTCCTGCCCCTCGGGCAGGGAGCTGGACTCAATGATCTTCCAAGGTACCTTCCAGCCCTAATGTCTATGAAATCTTTTTAAAATCTTCTAGGGATTTGGTCCACTTTTTCATAAGAACCTCCTCTCCCACACTTTCCACTGTATCCATTCATTCAGCATGGCATTCCCTACAATGTCTAGGTTTATACCTACAGATTGATTTTCTTCAGACCTCTGGTTCCGTCATGTCAAGTTGTTACATATCTCAAAAGGAAATAAGGGTTTTTTTATTTCTTCCATTGCTTCTTTCTCACTATTTGTCACTGCTATTATTACTTATGCAAATAAATTCTTAACAGTAATTCTGTCACCTGTGGTGATATATTTTCTAGATAACATAGCACAAAAAAAAATCTTAGTATTTTGTATTCTGAACCTGAATTTTGGGATCTCCGTCAATGTTCAGTAACTGCCTTTTGATGGAAGAAACAAGAAAATCAAAGGTATTATAAATGTTTACCTTCACAGGTTACAGTTAATAGATGCAGTTCCCTCCCAAACTCTGATAGTTAATTTCTTACAGTTTTTAATGGGCCGGAAGTGCAAAGCTTAAAGTGATGCAAAATAATTAAACATCCATGTATTTAAAACAAAATTCCCATTAATGTCATGACGTAAAATGGTGGGTGGAGATTCTGAAATGAAGAGGCAGTGTACTCTTCTAGTCTAAAGAAGTTGTTGTGATCAATCATCTGGTCACATGCAACACAGCCCAATAATTTCACCCAATACTTTCTGCAGCCTACCCAAAACTTCAGTTCAAGCTACCACATCACTTATGACTCAAAGGGATGCCAACATCTGGAAGCCAAGACAAACTGATTGCCACTAGTAATGATGATGTTGATGATGATTATGATGATGATGACCTATTATTAAGCAATGTGTCTAGTCCAGCCACAAGTTCCAGGCAGGGAATATTCAGTGTATTGGAACTAAGTATCAAGTATGTTTATATCAAGGTAGTAGAAGAATCTACATTGCAATACTCTTTTGCAGTGCCAAACATTAATGAAAACTCAGCACTGGAATGGGAGGGGATAAGCAAATGATGATTGAAAAGTCTTGCAGTTGATCACAATTTTTCACTAGCCTGCTCTTAAGAAAAGAGCTATGGGCCAAAGTGTACTTGAACTATCTCATCAGCAGGGATCCGGGTTTTCCATTTCCCATGGAAAAATGGAGAAAACCATGGATTTCCTGTTTTTATCAGAGAAAATGCAGATTTTCTCTTTTAGCAGAGAAAGACACACACAGGCTATGTGTAGGGGGCACAGGGGCACATGGGCATGTGCCCCCCCTGAGATTGGCCTTTGCCGGCCAGGGAGTGGTGAGCATGGGCTGATGCCACCCCCTGAGAAGCACCAGTGGCACTTCCAGTTTTGCCAGCGGCACTTCTGGTTTTTCTGTCAGCGCTTCTGGGGTCCCTCCCCATTGGCACTTGGCCACTGGAGGAGCTCCCCAGTTGGTGATCAGCCACAGGGGGATCCCCCCATTAGCAACTGGCTTGCTGAGGGACTTCCCCCCCTCCCCACCATTGGCGATAAGCTGCTGCTGTCTCCCCAGAGTCAGGAGGCACCAGTCGCCCATGAACCCGTGGATTTCCCTCTTTTGCAAAGAGCTGTGCAGGTGGGCAGAATTCCGGCCTACAGGAGCTGATTGCAAAAAGGGCAGGAAACCCCCAGCCCTACCCAGAGGGGGAAGGGAGGGGCCTGAGCCTGTTAGTCCCAAGGCTTACCTCTGGCTCATTTTCTTTCTGAAACCTGTAAGGTTAGGTAAGTGGGGCTTGCAGGGGGTGGGGGGCAGGCAGGGCTGGGGGCTGAGCTGGCTGTGGGGGAAGCTGGCTGCAGGGAGCTGATTGGGCACGGAGGGAGTGGGGAGGTGTTGGTGAACCACGCATGCCCTGCTGGCAGCATGTGGACTGTCAGTGGCACTTCTCGGCCTGACCAAGCTTGGTGAATCCATGCATGGCTTCCCTTAATGGCCCATAGTACCTTTGGTGGTCCACATGCAGCCAGATGGGTGCTCTGTGTCTTTCACTCAGGGGACAGGGAGGACCCATGCCCCCCAAACTTGTGCATGGGGCAGGCTGCAAGCTTGAGCTCCCACCCTGCTTCCTTCCTGTGGGGCCCCTGCAGCCCTGCTAACATGATCCGGAGTGACTGGGAATAGCACGGCGGTGCGGGGATCTCCTCATCTCCACCCCCGCCCTCAGTGATGCACCTCCTGCACCTGTCATCCACTTCCCTCAGTACAGCCCCACATGCAGGAGGTGCATCACTGGGGCAGTGCGGGATGAGCAGCCTCTAGGAGATCCCTGAGCGGCCCCACTGTTCCCAGTCACGTTGGGTCTTGGGGGAGGAAAGCAGAGCAGCACGGCTGCCTGCCACCATTCTCAGCCACCAATTTTCCCTACCGCCCCCCCGCCCCGCCCCCCTCCCGGGCAACCTGGCATGGCTGGGAACAGTGGAGGAGCTGAGCAAAAAACCTCCTCACTGCTTCTTGCCCCTACCCCCTGCTGCCCCAGCAACATTCCCCCTTTTTATGCCAGTGCTTTGAGGGGCACAGCCCCATGTAGCTGCCCTCACTGCAACCCTGCACACTGGAGGTGTATTGCCAGGGCACTGGGGGGTGGGGGCAGTGAGTGGCGGTGAGGAGGTTTTTTGCATGACTCCTCTGCCGGGTCATGGGGGTAGGGAGCAAGGTAGCAGGGAACAGCAACGAGCTGGAGGCCTGCTGTTCTCTGCTGCCCTGCTTCCTGTGACCTGACGTGGCTGAAAACAGCAGGGCTGTGCCCTTCAAAGCACTGACATGAGCAGGGGGTGCATTGCTGGGGCAGCAGGGGGGTGAGAAGCATCGAGGAATCCCTGCATGGCCCCTCTGTCCCCAGCCACGCTGGGTCACACTCACTGGGCTCCAGAAGCCCCAGGGGAGGGAAGCGGGGCAGGAGCTCGAGTCTGCAGCCTGTGCCTGCCCCAGGTACAGATCTGGGGGGCACAGGTCCCCCCTGCTCCCCCAGGAGTGCATGCAGCAGTGGGGTGCTGGACCTATCCCTCCCTTGACAAGTCACCCACAGCCGCATTCTGCTCCCGGCTGGGGCCCTGCAGCTGCACATTGAGGCCCCAAGCCCCACCCTGGGCAGCAGCCTCAGCCTGTGCCTGCTCTGGATACAGAACTGGGGCGTGTGGGTCCCCCCTGCCCCCTGGGAGTAGACATGGCAGTGGGGAGTTGCCCCACCCGAACCCACAGCAGGAAGGAGCGGGGGCAGGGGGCTGTGGTCTGGTTGGTAGCCCTGGCAGCTTGAGGACCCCTCCATCAAGGCTTGGGGAGCAGGGGCTGTGGGTGGTTGGCAAGGGAAACCCGCAAGGCTGGGGGGTGGGGGGGGGGAGGGAGGGGCACTAGCAGGTCTGGGGGGCCGGTGGGAGGCTATATCCAAAAAATACTAGCATATGTGGACATGATACAATAAGTTCTCGTTTACCTTTTAAAAAAAACAAGGTCTTCCCATTCTAAAAGGCCTCGGTGGGCTACTACTTTTGAACCTTCAAGGAGATTGATCATATCAACTGCACCAATATTTATAGGTAAGGATTTACTAAGTTAAGAGTTTTTGACAAAAAGACCACATGCCCATTTACCAGTGAGTACTGGAGGACAATGTTACCAACAGCATAAAGAAAAACACCTTCCTCCAACATGTACAATGATGGGAGGAAGAAGAAACACCCCGGAAAGGGAGCAACTAAACCTTCCAATAAACCAACCAGGCAGCCAAAAACTAAACAAAAGAGCCCTGTTTTATGTTATAGTTAAAAATGCATTAGGGTCCTCTTCCTACCTCTTACACTTCAGACTATGTACCACTGAATTCAAATACCCTTAAATTTCTAACTGCAAAGATTGTCATGACCATATGGCACTTTACTTCCTGCTCATCATTGCAGAAAATGGCTTCACACAATAGTGACTGCTCTGATCAAAATTACATAGCATGAAGGTTTCATTCCAATAGACAATGACCAGGGTGGGAAGAAACCACTAGAGCTTCCAGGAATAAGCAACGTTGGGGAATTTGCAATATAGGATTTGAGGTAGGAAAAGAATAATTCTTAACCTGTGAGACCCGACAGCAATGTCATCCAAATCCTTAATGCAAGATAAGAGAAAACAGGAGAGCGTGTGACACACACCTGAGCAGCGAGACCCAGGTTCAGCACGTACCCCTTGCCCGCCTCTGTGCAGTCTGTGGCGGGCAGGCAGCTGGGAAGGGCTGAGGCGCGGCCATGGAGAGGTAGGAAAAGAATAATTCTTAACCTGTGAGACCCGACAGCAATGTCATCCAAATCCTTAATGCAAGATAAGAGAAAACAGGAGAGCGTGTGACACACACCTGAGCAGCGAGACCCAGGTTCAGCACGTACCCCTTGCCCGCCTCTGTGCAGTCTGTGGCGGGCAGGCAGCTGGGAAGGGCTGAGGCGCGGCCATGGAACCTGGGCCAAGCAAGAGAAGGAAAGCATGGAGCGAAACGCGGGAGAAGCCGCTCCACGTGAGGCGCGCTCCGGGAGAGGGGAAGCAATCTGGGAGCCGTGCAAGGAAAGAGGCGAATAAAGACATCTCACCATTGCGCTGCCATCCGGGCCGGCGCCGCCGCCTCCCGTCTTCTTGTCCGCACTGCCGGCGGCGGCGGCGGGCGGGCAGCCGGGGCTGAACACCATGAGGTCGGCCTTGCCCGCCGCCTCGCCGACTCCCAGCTGGCGGCTGTGGCGCTGCGAGTACGACCAGCTGCCCACCTCGCTGGCGCACACCAGCGCCGCCTGGCCCGG